TACTAACAATACTAACAAATACTATGTAAATCAATTATAAAAATCTTAGATATGGAAATAAAGAGGCTTTATTATTATTATTATTATTATTTTATAATCTTAGTAAAATTTATTTATTCACTCTTTGGTATACTTTTTATATTAATACTGCGTCCGCAAACGTGCCCTCTATTAATAAATTATATGAAAATGAGTAATAATTTTGCTTTTATTATAAGACAAAGAGCAAGGGGCGACCCTCAAGTCATTGTGAATGCGTGTGACGAAGCGACCAAATAAACAAACATAAACATTATAATTGTTAAAAGATGTCTCTCAAAACATTGCCTGAGAGTTGGCATTTTGCACCGCAAAACAATAAACATCCTCACCAGAGCTCATCATAGATTGGTCTTGGTGTGAAAGTTACTATTTTGAGAGAAATGTCATCAGTTTGCTTCTTGTAGCCCCAGTAGTTAAAAAAAATAAGGTTAGCGTGGTATGGGCATGTTATGCGAAGGGATGAATCGCATATAACAAGAAGGACGTTAGTTATGAATGTGGAGGTACATCGGTAGAGGTAGACTTAGAAAGAGATGGATGGATTGCGTGAAAGGTGACATGATCAAGAAGGGAGTGATGACTGAGATGAAGGATGATAGAGTTATTTGGAGGACGAAAACCCGATGCGCCACCCTACGGGAGTAGGATAAGGCAGGGGAGATGATGATGTCATCAGTCTGCTTCTTTCGCTACGGAAGGCCGGCACGGTGTACCTTTACTTGTTCTTATACTATATTCAACATGTATACTAATGTTATAAAGAGGAAAGATTTGTACTTTTGGACTTTTGTACGTATTGAAATAATTCAAAAACTACTGGGCCGATTTCAAAAATTCTTGTACCATTAAAGAGCTATGTTATCACTGCATACCATAGGCTAACTTTTTTACTATTTTTTTAATTTCACGTAGACAAAGACGCGACAGCCTAGTATATTATACATATGAACTTTCTTCTTGAATCACTCTATCTATTAAAACTGCATCAAAATTCGTTTCGTAGTTTTAAAGATCTAAATACAAATAAGTACAGACAGCGGGAAGCGATTTTGTTTTATACTGTAGTGACTAACAATAGTTCACCTCTAACTGCACTTGTGCACACATCACTACGTTCGTTATTATCTGTTATATCAACGAGGTATACAACAAAACATTTAAATACATTATTATATTGTAGAGGCGCTGCCGGTTGGCCGATCGCCCTTGGAGTAGGAGATAGGGGCTAATTTATACTATCTCTAACAAAACTTTTGCACTTTTATACAGATGTAGAACATAACCTAAAAGAACACATAGACAACTAATTATGCTTTTATTTCAAGATAGCAGCAACGGATCAAGCCGAGGTTCGGCCCTCTCGGGCACCCTTGAATCGGAATGCTAAACGCGTATTGAGTGACAGCCCAAGCCGAGGTCCCCTCTCGGGGATCCTTGTGCTTAGTCACTCCATGGAGCGACCACCGAAGCGATCTAAGAGCTCGGTGGCCTCCCAATCCGGTAATAATAACGAAGTAACGGCCCGAGCCGAGGCTCCTGAGGGAGCCCTCGAGCCTAGTTACTCATAAAAGAGGTTTAGGCTAAGCGCCATCTGCGCTGGGCCACCTCAAGCCCGGTGAATCTGTAAATGCCTCTTCAAGGCAAACAGTGACAACTCAGTCACAAAAAATAAATAAATGAAAAAAAAAATATTTCAGTAAGGAGTAACCTGCAGTTTTATTGTTACCTTGGTTTTACAATTGGAATGGCTTCGTGGCTGTAAAATAATTAATAAAAAGTGCGGGTGTTAGTGTTTAGCTGCAGTGATATCTTATCAGTGCGGCAGGCGGCTGTCGCCGAGGCTGCCGGCGTCACGTTATCATTGATTTTCATTAACGATTAAAAACTCTGAGAACTGTTTATTACGAGCGCCGTACCTGTGTCGGAAGCCGAGTAAAGTATTTGGAAGTTATTTGCTGATATTGTTAAATTGGAAGTAACAATATTTGGAGGTTTTCGACATGATGTTATTGCTTATATAACTTATTAGCTGCCGCTTGCGACTTCGCTCGCGAATTTAAAAATATAACCTATGCTACTCACTAATAACGTAGCTTTTCAATGGTGAAAGAATTTTTGAAATCGACCCAGTAGTTTTTGAGTTATTTTAATACAAACAAAAATCGAAAAATACAATCTTTCCTCTTCAAAATACTAGCATTAAGTAATTTGAAGTTAAAGCGTAGTCTTATCGTTTACAACCTTTCAATAGGTAACCTTTAGCTTTTTAAAAACTTTATGATTACGTAGTCAATTACGTAGTTACTAGCTGTCGCCCGCGACTCCGTCCGCATGGAATTTAAAAAACAAAACAAAAAGGAGTAGCTTATATGTTTTTCCAGACTATCCTCTACATCTATGCCAAATTTCAACGAAATCGGTTCAGCCGTTTAGGCTACAAACTCTAACAAACATCCATCCATCCATTTAAACTTTCGCATTTATAATATTAGTTTGAAGTATGATTTTCCTCCTGCCACATTTTAGTAGACAATTTTTATTTTTAAATTTTGAATAATCTATCATTGGTCACACTGGCGCGTGTGAGACTGATTAGTTGCAAATATTTGTGACGTCACTGGAAATGTTTGAGAGCTCGCCGGCGCTGTTAGCACTATCATTGATAATGATAAGATATCACATATCATATGATATATTTTGTCTCGCGCGATACGCACTCATTGTAGGTGTTATTATAACATTTATCACAAATATGTGATTATATTTTAACTATCTAAGTCAAAATATAACAAAACAAGTCTGTAACTACGAAAATAGCAATTTTCATTGCTTAAAAATCGGCTACTAATTGGCACAGAATGTAATCTTCCATACATGGGCGTTACTATAACGCGAGGGGGGTAGGAAGTCAGCTGCCTCCCCCTAGACTAAATACTCCATACACCTCCATACTTCATATATGCATCCACTTTAATATTCACTATAAAACGACTAATATTATACTGATATGAAATATAAGTATTTTAAAAAATAACGGAAAACATTCAAAATACTAGTTTCAAAACAAAACAAGGTTATGTAACGAACTTTTGTTGAGCGACACGAATTCACATCATAAAAAGGTAAACATGATTCTTCTTATATGGGAGCTTCTTAAGAAGTTGTACAAACAGAGATATAACTATACATGGGTAACTCAATGGATGATCTGCAGATCAGCTAACGGTTCGCATGGGTGAAGCAGATTAGCTCAATTTGTACCTGCATAGAGGTATGAATTACGTGAGCTACAAGTCACCAGAGAACTCATCGGCTCTCTTAATAATAGTACATTGAATTGAGCTGTAAGCTGCTAATTTAGTTGTTGAGCCGCAGCTCAACAATTCAAGGCTATATGAGTCGATCTCTTGAACAGGTTCAAAGCTAATTTACGTCTATATTAACGTTTTTTTGGTGCAAAATAAACGCGCGTAATATTTTGTTGTTTTTTATACGCAAATTATAATGGATTTAGGCAGCCAGTTGGATTAGACTATGAGAAATTATTACGAACAAATAAAAATATTGGAAACCCAAGGGTTGTTCTAAATTTAAAAAGTATAAATTAATTTTTGTTAATACATTTTAAACTGAAAACATGAAAGAAGCATTTTCCACGTACTTAGTTATTTTTTACTATATATTTTATATATAAATCTAGCTTTGCTTTGTTAAATTAACGGAAAAACGGAATCACGTAAATGTTGGAAAAACCATAGACAAAAAATACACAATATATTGCATACTCTTTGTATAGATTATAGTAATTGAAAGATTTCATTTAAAGATAAGACTTGTTAAAAATAAAATATCTAATAAAAATTAATACTCACGATAACAAAATAATCCAGTAATTAGTCCGAAAACACTGAAAACTGTACACTGTTATAAATCGCGCCAAATCACAGCAAAGAAAAAAATTAAAAGTCAATCGCAAAATGGCCGCGTCCGTGGCGGGCCGGGCGACGCGCAATTCTGAATACAAAATTGTGTTTTCAAAACGTAAGTATATCATATCCAGAATATGATGACCCACACACTGTGTGACAATTGGCGAGTTAACAGCGACACGTGAGGTCTAGTTATACTGGTGACTTACAAGTGCTTATCGCGGTTTTGCTGTTATAAAATCGACTTTATGTCTTAGAGAATAAAGTTTAACAGATTTTATCGACTGCACGTATATGTTGGCTAGTTAATCAATGGTTAAGGTAGTGGAGTGATAACACATACAGTGTGTTTCTAAAATAACACTTAATAAACGATATATTCACGAGTACCTAAAAAAGTTAGTAAGCAATAAAAAAGATGGCATAAATATGTAAAATAATATTAATTAAATATTAAGCTATTATCTTCATACGAGATTTATTACACAAATGTTAAACACTTGACATAAAACCAATAACTGTATTGTACTAATTGAAATAAAATCCAAAATCATGTCATCTATGTCTTACAGGATTATTCTTAGAATTTAGACGCAAAGATAGTGTCTGACTAGAAACCAACTCTTCCGACGAGAACTAAATGTAGAACACGCTGTATAATGTACATCATGGCGGTGTGCACACCTGTGGCGCTGTCACGTCTGTGTGCACACACTGCGGCACAGCACGGCAGGATGCTTTACTTGAATTTCACGTAATTAACCACGCAATATCCTGATACTGGAAATTTTAGTCAGGGTTATATTGTACTTTACTATTCGTACATATTTAATAATAGTAGAGTTAGCAAAATAATGGTAAAGTTCAGAAAAGTTAATTGGATTTGGCGGGAGTTTGTATAGAAAATAAATATACATTTTCCGTCCTCCCTCTCGTTTTAAGGTAGATATTGATTTTTTGAAAGAAAGAAAGTTGATATCTCTATGTTTGAAAAGCAAGATTAAAAATAAAAAAAAAAAAACAGCATATGTGAGTTATAAAAATAGTATTAAACACAAGTAAAGCATTCTGCAATATGTGGCGTATGCAAGGTCCACGGTTGGGCGCGTCACCCACGCGGCTCACACGGCCGCCACTGCGCCGGTATGGTTCAGCGAGTACGGGGCCCAGGGTTCGACACCCTCTGCCTACAACTGACGTCCATTGAAATTTTAAAAAACTTACAAGTCTTCCTAAAAGGTTTAATACAATGTTTGAAAGAAACTAGAGATTCTTTCTTTATGACGTCACGTGACGTCAACTCAAGAGTTCTTTTTTTAAAAGCTTTTAAGATTTAAAAAAAAGTACAACAAATGACTATAGTGAAAATGACATAAACAAATCGATTAGTTGTAGTTTAGGTTTATTTCAACAGATGGCGCTAATAAGATATTTAATTGTTGCGATTATTTTAATTTAATTAATTATTTTACTAACAGTTATTTCTGATAACAAAGACAATAAAACAAATAACAAAGTCAATAAAATTTTAACAATAAAATTATTGTCATTTTGTTAAAATTATTTTTACAAGAAATGAATAAAAAATTGGCAATTTATACGCCTTACATACGACAAGTAGCAATGAAAACGGTATAAAAGTTTTGCCTTCATTTAAAAATTACATGATAAAAACTGTATTGATTGAAAAATACAATAACATATTACTTTTAAACACGCATATTGTGAAAATAATGGTATCTTACTTTTTAATAATAATATAATTACAAAAGAATGGTTGTTACTAATAGTAATTGTTGTATTATCTATGATTGTAAATTTATACTATTATAAAGAGGAAAAATATGTATTTTTGTATGTATTTGATTTACTCAAAAACTACTTGGCCGATATTAAAAATTCTTCACCATTAGAAAGATAATTTGTCTGTGAGTAACATAGGCTATAATTTTTTTTTTAAATTTCACGCAGGCAAAGTCGCGAGTAACAGCTAGTATGTGATGTTTTGTTGGTTTGCGATTGAAGATAGTTAAACTAAACAGAAAAAAAATATGTTAATAACCTTTTTAAACATTTCTGCCAGCAATATCAATTACAATTGTAATTGAATCTCGATGTATACCAACATTTAAACCAAAAACATTCAATTTATATTCCAAAGTTTACAATTTCGCGGTTTCTTTGTAACTGGATCACGGACAGATTGTGAACGTCCCGGGATCGTTAACACACACATAGTATATGCTTAAATATCTCTTAATCTAAATCAATACTTATTGTTAAATAAATTCCTAGGCTGTAAGAAACATTTTACCAATTTTAGAGAAAAGATTTCTTAGCTCTCACACCTTCTAAGTATATCAGTATTGACAGAATAAAACAGAGAAAGGAGATGACATTTACATTTACATCAAATGCAGAACCTAAATTAAAAATACTTATAGTGTGTCTAAATAATTTAGATTAGTTTGATAAATGACGCATATGAAGTATCGAATTCAAGTTGTATAAAAGCAAATGCCATACTTAATAGACAGGTATCGTAGTGACGAAACAAACACACATAACGAACAATATTGAACTATCGATATTCGGTTTAAATAATTATCGAACTCAACTAAAATTATTATTTTCTTATAACTAATTTAGAAGACAATTCTATTATTGATTATAGTGTAGAGAATTTAGCGATGACAGAAATAATAGCGAAATTCAATTCGGCTACTTACGGCTGTAGTAGTAATAAACATTTATTTAATCTCGTTATTTGTTATGGTCATTATTATTTTGAGAAGACAGTGTTTTTTTTTTAAATTCATAAGTTATAACTATAAATCTATCGATTCCAACTTCTATAAGAATATAAATCGAAAATCGATCAGATTCATGACTGATTTTACATAACCCATCCCTATTAAATTTGAAGTGAATTGTCAAACTAATCTAAATTATTTAGACACACTATAATTCTTTGTTAATTTAGTATTAATAAAATTACAGTTCAACTTTGAACCTATCAACGATTTGTCAAGACGGGTCACTGAATATTCGTAATCTAATTACAAATTATCTACGCAAGTGTAAAGTTATTACTTTAGTTGTATTTGATATTAACGAGTTTAGCAAATAATAACTATAATAAACACAGTTTGTTAAGGCAATTGGTCGACCGTTCTTCTCTTGCGCCCAGGTCTAAAAATTACTTTCACAATACTATTCCGACTATGTATCTCAGTTGTGAACTAAAATATTTCGGAAGTGTAGAGCGGTGGCAAACGGCGACCTTGTGCGACACTAGCGCCACACTCTCTGCCTCTCTCCGCTCCTCTCTGTTCCGCCGACCTCATTGTAATTACACAAATCAGATGAGACTTGTAAAACAAAGCCCTTTCTTGCAACCACACCCGAGATTATGTTGTTCAAATTTTATGCAATGCGATAGCTTCGCTGTGTTAATTTTTCGAAACATAATATAAGTACTTGTAATTACCAATAGCAATGAGAGACGGCTTCCTAATATGTATTTTTGTGCTGCCTATAGAAATAAAATGTTATTCTCATATTTACTTTTATATTCTACTTTCGCCCGCGACTCCGTTCGGGTGGAATTAAAAAAAGTTAGCAGCCTATGTGTTCTTCCGGACTATCGTCTACATGTATACCAAAATTCATCACAAACTTAACACACATAAACTTTCACATTTTTAATATTAGTATGATTTAGAAATTACGTTAACAAATAACTTAACAAAACAGCGAGTAAGCTTTTAAATATCGATTGACTTTCGTATCACAAGGTAAACAGTATTTACTTGAATATCGCTGAGTCAGAACAACGGTTGTGCGATTCACAATTGTTTCGCAGTCAATTCAACTGTTTAGCACAACTTAAAATCGAATAGTGTGCACCTCCATTAAGCTGATAGGAATCAAAGCAAGACTAAACAGTTGTGCGATAGTTTAGTTTCACATGTGCGAACGCTCTAAAGGTTCTATTTAATTACTACTAAATTCGTTTGTTGCGATGCAACCACCGTAACCATCTAATCGTGTCATCGACCTTAGCGATGTCACATTTTTACAACGACCTATATTATGGAAACTATAAAGGTCATGTTACGAAATTATAAGTAGATGAAATGTAATACTAATTCCGTGGGATATAATGCCTGGGATAAACATGTTAATATTATATTAAAAAACGATCTACCCGTCTTTATTCTACTGTCGTAAAGCGTAACAAGCTTTCGTCAGCCATGTTATTCTACCATCAACAGTCATCACTCCCTTGATCATGTCAATTTTCAGGCATTACTTCAAACACTTACTCATAACACAATACACATTACCCACCAACGCCTCACATATAGATTCAATTTCTACTTTATTTTCTCTAAATGTTACTTGTATATTTTTTCGTTTATAGTAAGATTTGTATATTTTTGTTGTGGGGCGTGGGCCTGGTGATCCATTACACAGGGCGCCACGCTTATTTGGACACTAGTCCCCAAGGGGAAAAATAATAAGGCTATTTTATTTTTAACTCTATTACCATTGCTTTTTGAAGGCATGTATGTGTACAGTTCTATCTAAACTCCTCGCCGTGTTCACTGGGTCATTATCAACGTGACATATAAGATTAGGTTTACACTGTATGTGGAAATCAAACAATGCCATCAAGTCAGATCATTGTCAACTTACTCGTATATAGAATAGCTGTAAAATGAACTTTCAAATACTGTTTTAGCTACGCTATGTTATGTTTAAGTTATTGTTAAGCTAAATTAAGCTCAATACGTCAATTTTATTGATTAGCTGGTGCTCGCGACTTTGCCCGCGTTTAATTAAAAATAATATAAAATGCAGTCTATGCGTTTTCCTAATGAGTATAACTACTAGAGGAAGTTTGAGATTAGCCCCAGTAGTAGAGAAGGTCAGGAGTAAAAGGTTAGCATGGTATGGGCACGTTATCCCCATGGATGAATCGCATGTTACAAGGAGAACGTTAGTTATGATTGTTGTACATCGGTAGAGGTAGTCATAGAAATAGATGGATGGATTGCGTGAAAGGTGACATGATCTAGAAGGGAATGATAACTGAGATGACGTTTGATAGAGTTATGTTGAAGACAAAAACCTGTTGCGCCAAAACTACGTAAGGAGGAAGATGATGATGAAATCTAAAAACACATGGACATGGCGGGATTCGAACCCATAACTTGCAGAGACTTTACTGTAATAAAACAAAGGCACGTGTAAAAAGTAGAGAAGGTATTCAATATATTTGTAGTAATTAGAGTTCGAATTTTGTCGCCACTTAACTTAATATTGTCTCTCGCAAAGATAATTGTAACTCCATCCTCCGCGGCTGGGGATCGTGGGAGACGCGTTGAGATAATATGGATACGACTTTTAATGTAACACGTGGAATTAATAATATATACAGAAACAATTTTAGAATACAATATAACTTACAGATAATTGAAGTAGAGATTTTATTATTCACGAATATAAAGTCGGAACATTTTTTTTTATTAAAATATATTAGAAATGTATATTTTTTGTAAGTCACTGTGAGTAACATATTATTCGTAAATACTGACAAACACCAAACTTTGGATTTTAGATACAAATTTAAGCCTTTCCACATATCAAATTTTCAATCGTATAAACATATGATAGTGCCTTTAATAAATTATTAACATAACCACCTTTAAGGTTGGATTTAAAACAACGAAAGAGAAGGATGAGACCGTATAATTTTAATTAACACATAATTGAATATTTTAAAGCAAAACGCCTTAATAAAGCAAGCTAGAAAAACGAAATGCGTCTAGTAACCTGTACTCCAAAATCATATTAACTAATTAGTCAATTTTTGGCTCTGATAAAGTGAATGTGGTATTACATTTTTGTGTACATATGTCTTATCCACGCTATGCTCCACAACGGTATATATTGTCAGGAGGCAGGCGGGTAGGGTCAGTTGCGTTGTGTGCGAGCGAGCGCCCTGTGTTAGTTCCCGTCTTACCTGAATTGCCCGACTGCACCACTTGCCCGGCACAGCGACGTCTAGGTATGTACTATGACAATATAATTACAACCGAAAACATTAAATCAAATTCCTTTCGTCGTTTTAAGAATAATTCGTTTTATAATTAGTAATTGAATTAAATGTTTCGTTTATTTGTTTCAGTTTTAAAAGTAATAAATAAATAATATTGTAAATAGAGTAGGAAAATATTTAACGGTTTATTGGTTAAAAAAATATATCGATGGTTAAACGCCGTAACTTTTTAAGAGCTTTCAGAAAAGCTTCTAATCTTTTAAATCATTTTTTTAAAAAGTAAACATTCAGCTTTGTGTGGATTTGATCAAATTGTTGCAAAACTAAAATAGTTAGTAGAAGTAAATATCGAATTGATATTCGTTAACATAATTATTTAAAAAAAAAAGAATTTTTTACATATTCAAATTCGCTTACAAACATACCAGCAAACAAGAAAACTCTATCATATTCTAGTGCGATAGTTATGTACGTTTTTAAATTATTTGCGTGTACACAGTTTCCTATGTCCGCTTCCTTACGCCCCGCACAACACGCACGAGCGACGACTTACACCGCCTGAAGAATATACCACACTTATATAAGATATTAACTTTATAATCAACGCAGTTTATTCAGCTGAAAAGAGATACGAAATCAACTCACACGGAACTATAATTATATAAAAAAAAAAAATACCATGCAAGAAATAAGTTAAAATACGGTCATAAAATACCGCGTATAATTTATTACAGTGAATACGATTATTGAAACGACATATGTAACACCGCCTTAAGTGATAAGGCCACGCTTAAACTGTGAATTTAATTAAAATTTAACTGTCAAATTGTAAATATCATTAAGCGAAATGTTAAAGATTCGTTTCAGCAATTGACCGTTAATGTCATTTTATAATAAAAGCGGGCGCAAATCGTTGACCAAACTGTCGCACAACTGTTGCGCGGTTGCCGATTGTTTCGCAGGCAATTCAACTGTTTAGTTGCACAAAGAATCGAGTAGTGTGCGCCTCCATATAAGATAGGAATCATAGCGTGGTAACCAAATCCGGTAATAATAACGACAAACGGTTCGTCCCGAGGCTCCTGAGGGAGCCCTCGAGCTTTGTTACTCATAAACGAGGTTTAGGCTAAGCGCCATCTGCGCTCGGCCACCACAAGCCCGGTGAATCTGTAAATGCCTCTTTAATGCAAACAGTGGCCATTCAGTCACAAAAAGCGAGGTAAACAGTTGTGCGTTTCGTCAATTAAAAAGAAACACAAAGTGTGTAACGATTCTCAACAGATTGTATACGTAACATCGATGTTATTTACAGAGAACTCGTGTCGTTGCTTTGCGCTTATAACAATTATCTAAGAGTTATTCAATTGTCTATCAGCCAACTTAGGTTAAAAATTAAAAGAAAACACGAATATGATCTATTTTTAACTACAACTCATTCGTAAAAACAAATGAACTCTCAATAAATATAACCGAATTTACTCGCTATATGTCTTGTTTCACTAGTAGTAATTTTAATATTACACCGGGCGAGCCGGCCCATTCGTGCGAAGATGTTAAAGCGGGCTCTACCACTGTTACACTTATTTCTACGAGTACAATATATTATATATTCAAATATCATTCTCAGTAAAATCCACTTTATATAATTATTTTCTCCTTATGATATAATAAACCTCATGTTCCCTTATGTCACTGCCACACCACACAGCTGCCGTGCGGTATGCGGTCAGTGTGGCATTGCTTCCTCTCTAACTGACCTATGTCATAGTTGAAGATAATATTGTTAATTTAGTATCTAAATAAGACATAAAGGGTCTGTCCCAACACTAACTGATAGATGTTCAGATAGCTTAAAACGTCACAGTCAGATAAGGGAACAAAATCCGATATTTCCATCACATATTTTACACGTTCGATTGTTATAAGACAATTTACAATTTGGTGGGACTGATACTTAAAATCTTACTAATATTATGAATGCGATAGTTTAAATGGATGGATGGATGTTTGTTAGAGTTTGTGGGTTAAACTGCTGAACGGACTCCATAAAATAGATGTAGCGGTTAGTCGTTCGTTTCTTTTTTCAATTCTACGCGGATGGAGTTGCGGGCGAAAGCTTATTGATTTAGTATTTTAAATTGGCAATAGATGATAACAATAGAGTAATTTTTATAAGCTTGATATGTTAGGTTAGTGTATTAATGCCATAATTAACACTTATTCGTATTAGTTCATCTCATAAGATAATTTAATCTAACTAGTTAATTTCTAAACTGCCGATTATTTTTTATAACATAAGATGGCAAACGAGCAATCGGCCACCTGAAACCGCCAAAATGGCGAAGCAACCGCTGCCCATAGACATCCGCAATTACAGATGCGTTGCCCTTATACGACGGAGGAGGAGATGCACATAGAGAGGATATTTCCCCTTCTTATGCATCTCCTCCACCGTTAAATCCACTTCCTCTTCCCAACCTCTTCTTGTAAGAAAAGGGTGGTAAAGAGAAAGGGACTTAAATTAGGCCTCCAGCACCACACTCATCAGACGAAACGCGGAATTGCTTCTCTTTCACGCCTGTCTTCTGTGTGGTCGTGGTATTTCACCGGGCGTGCCGGCCCATTCGTGCTAAGATGTTAAAGCGGGCACTATCACTGTAAAGATGATCACACTGATGTTTACATTATCACGGTGACATAAAATACATTGTTTTATTTGCACTCTCGTACATTTGTCAGATACGCCGGATACTAACGCAAGCGTACATTTCGAGGTCACCAAATGTGACACTCAAATTTTAAGGTTACTAAACTAACTAATTTCGAAAATTGAGCATAATTTTAGCATTGCGTATTGTTGGTTGTCGTGATAAACTGTACTTGGCTGTACCAATGAAGATGACTTTTAATTTTGTTCTAGAAAAAGTTTTCGTGTATTCAAAGATTTCTTTTTAGGTAATCTATGATCCTGATACCTTCAATATTCCGTACGCGTGGTTAAAAAAAAAACAAAAGCAAGTACCTTACGTAGTCTTCCAGATTATCTATGTGTTCTTCCGGACTGTGTTCTACATCTATGCCAAATTTCATCGAGATCCGTTCAGCAGTTTAGGCTACAAACTCTAACAAACATCCATCTAAACTTTCGCATTTATAATATTAGTAAGAAATAAGCTCACAAGGCTAGATTTTCTGTTACACTTTTTACGGCTAAAATATGACATTTTACTCTTCTCTTGTTGCGACATCTCCGATAGCATATTGTATAACAATACCACTGAAACCTATCAAAGCAACAACGTAATGATTACAAGTCTAACAATTTGCTCAGGGCTAATGAAACAGACGGACAAAAACAAATACAAATGAACGTGGAAGTGATAAAAACGGCTGTAACACGCGGCAATTTCGCCCGCGTGAGATCTCTCGCCGACAAATTGTCTTTCATTGCCCAACATTGGTGCATTGGTACGGCCTTCCTAAGGACTGGAAAAACTTAATGTACACATAATGCTCATTGTATGTACACAAACTATCTCCCTTAGTGTCTACATTAAGAAATAAAGGTCTGTTTAATGAATAACTTCGTTCGATCAGAACGTTGACCATCGTTGTTTCATTTTAAAATAACAACATGTGGAAGGTTACTCTTTCTTTTTAAAAATATTCCAAGATTATAGATTAACCTTGAACTTAACGATGTGTTTAATGTACACATTTGCACTGAATTTCGCAAATTGAACATCTCCAAGTGCGTCGGCCGTGACATCTTTGGAATTGTCACACGGTACAGACACACGTAAGAATTTTACGACTTTACAACTGCATACTTTTGCATTGAAATTTAATTAAAACTTTACGATATCATAATTGTACCTTTGTACAATTAATGCACAAATACGGTTAATCAAGAAACTTTTTTTATGGATCAGCCACCACTTGTTTCTCAAAGGAGAAGTTTAGATGACTTTATATTTTCAGTCTTCCGTACAAGTTCTAAAATTCAATTCAATGTTTTAATGCATTACAAAGGCGTGGTTTTCGGTAGTTATTTCTACAACGCCCTTGTCAGTATAAATTATGAGAATTAGTTTAATTTTTATTTTGCGTTCACATTATATTCACACAACAATTAAAATGCAACAATATTTAGTGTATGTAGAAACTTTGCTGCTCCATTAAGTAGTATACATCGCGCTAAAGATAGTTAAAGGGGGTCAGCAGTGTAATAACCTTGCAAAATAGCGCGTAATCCCATTGTGGATGGCCGCTCCCACGGTCTGCAACGATGGTTACCACATTGTTTATTGCTGGCCGCCCCGCGCCGCCGCCGGCGAGATGGCGATCTCAAGACTAATGAGATATGATTAAACATAATAAACCATAACGTTTTTAAAGTTTAAGTTAGAATATAACTATTGGGAAGGTAAACCAACAACCGGTCAACAATGACCACTGATTCTATAGACTCTCATCTGCAAAAAAGAACTTAGTCCATTTCTACTGTTGTTGCATAGAGTAATGGAGAAACAAGAAAGGATATTTCCTTTTTTTACCTATTCTTCCGCTGTCAAATACTCTCCTCATTCCATGTTATAGTTATCGGAAAGTTATAGGAAGGGATGAAAATAAAATTATGGTCCTAGCAACTTTCTTAGTGTCTACAAGTGTACAAATGTGTATGTATTCGGTAACATGACATAAAGCCACGCGTTATTATGTTTTAATAACGAGTCAATTACGATTGTTTAAGCAGTTTTTTCTTACTCTGTACCTTTGTTCTATTCATTGATTGCAAAGCTATTAAGTAATTATGAGGTCCTTGTTGGAATAGAATTGTTCATTCTAAAATTTTATATAGAAATTTCTGATATAGTGGTAGAGTCCGCACAAAGAGATTCAATAATACATAGACGAAGCATAGTTGATACTTTTAACGTTATCTGTTAATAAGCCACATGTTAATATAATTAATGGTTAAGTGAATTGCCAATAGATGTCACTGAATCATATTTAAATAACTAATTCATGTTTATAACAAAAGATGGAGCTTATTACAATTTTGTAAAATGTTTTATACCAAGTTAAAACAAGGACATGAGGTGGTACTAAACTTGACAACTAACATAGTACCTTTTAGAGAAGTTACCAGTGAAAAAATATTGTTCACTATATAATTCTAGTTCTGGTATATTTCTTAAATGAGTCCGACAGAGGATTAATTGCTACACAAATGGGTTGTTCGCTAAATGCCACCGCATAGAAAATTAACGAATGTGTTTTGTTTTCGTATTTACGGTCCTTAAACTTTTGATTGTCAGTTACTTAACTTAAATTTTCTTTATTTCCAGCACATCTTCAGACCAGTTCTAATCATCAAGCGAACAATGCAGCAGAGAGTGTGCGGTCTTCGGCTGTCGTCCGTCGGCGTAGTCGCCGTCATACTCTACATTATTGATCATTCAATCGCCGTAAGTATTTTTACAATATCTAAACAACTGCAATAGATTGAAGTTTGCAGATGCGTTTCTTACTTTAATTTACAAAATACAGAAACCTTCATACACTCTTCACACATTTTATCCAGACGTAAACGTAATAAGGAATACGTTTTTGTGACAATCAAATTGTTGAATTTCTTTTGACGTGAAATGACTAGTTAAAGACATCAACGGGTGCACTTATGTTAAGAATTGTCATAATTTTTTAATTATGATTTATATAGCTTTAATATCTTACATTGCTTCTATACTTAATAACTCATTATTCCATAATTGATTCAATCAAGTTTAATTAACTTAGATTACATCCTTTTGAAAATGATTGATTGAACGATTTGTATGTATGCAGCAAAAAGCACACGTCAGTAATAAAACTGAATCCACTTAAATTATGTTATTACAAAGACAAGGTAATTACTTTGATAATTAAAAGTATCAAAGGACACTCGGTCGAGTATCGTGGGAAGTTTTAACGTCAATTTCCATTGTGGTTTTTCATGTTTATTGCTGTTTTTAGCATGAATTTAATGATTTACAATGAATCGTCGAATAATTTGGACAAAAATACTTGATAAAAAGAATACAATTGTATTTTTCTGTGTTCTATTTAACTCGATTAGGAATAATTTAATACAGGATCAATTGCAAAGTTTATTTTCCACTGTACTTTAAAATTTTCAAGGCAAGATTACATCTGTATTAAAAAATAAATGAAAAGACGAAACGATGTAGTACATTTTATAGTAAATAATAACACTAGACCTGTTATCAATGAAACTACCTCATGTTAGAAGATAACGTGGCCGAGAGGAAGCGCGCAAACACGTGCTTCTGTTGTGGAAGTCTACGTTTATATTTAATAATTTTTACTGCAGGCGTTGGATGGATACGTACCGGGCGAGGACTACCCAGACTTTGCAGAGGTCCCCAAAGGTCTGTCGTTCACTTGCGATGACAAAATACCCGGGTACTACGCCGATCCAGAGACATCTTGCCAGGTTTTTTCTTTAATATAGTGGTACTTCTTGATTATATCCTAGTTTAGATAGTATTGTAATATATATGTGTGTAGGTGTGGCACTGGTGTGTGCCGAGCATCGGTGGCAACGTGATGTACTCGTTCCTATGCGCGCCCGGCACCGTCTTCAACCAGCGCTCCCGTGTCTGTGATTGGTTCTACAAGGTCAGCTCCTTAAAATACTTATATACTTGTAACAATTTTCTGTGATTTTATTGATGTTAAAGTTCTTCTCATTAAACAATGTTAAATGCGTTTAGCGCCTGCCGACAACAGAATCATTTCTTACTCCTGTCAATAAAAAATAGCAATTAGTTAGACTTATATATTGCAGATATTAATTAATTTTCTTCCGTCTTTGCAGGTGGACTGTCAGACATCACCCGCGTACTACGCCATTAACGAGGACCTCTACAAAGACGAGGCGGGCAACTACATCGCGGGCAAAAAGTAGATTGTAACGAACTCATCTTACAGATCAACACCGCGCACGGCTGCACTGAATCTGCAATTAAGTGCTCACGATTTATCTGAATTAGTTAATGTAATTATGTAGTTAAGCAAATTGTGCAATTACCCTCACGTAGTTACCCTTAGTTATAGTTTTAATGTTTAGCTCAGTTTATTAATAGCAAAAGTTACCATTAGAATAATTGCTAATGAAATCTCTCAGGCGCTGTAAGCAATTACAAAAATAACGATGCATAACAATAACATCATTTAGAAATTAAATATATTATGACGTTTCTGTGAAACGATCACTAATAAAGAGTTACGGAATCGTAAAAAAGTGCACTACAACATGAATCTTACCATATTTATTGCTCATAGCGCCTGGACGATTGTGTTAATCTCGACGTTATGCTCATTACGAACTGTACATGAGGGCAACGTCGACTGGCAGCAGGAGATGAATGCGTTTTATTAGCTTTACGAGGTTTAACATCGTATGCAATAATCACTCTGTAGCTAATTACACGACCCTGTAAGAAACAACATAAAAGAAATCTATTGGTTTGTGTTATTTTATAATACTAGGTTATAAATTACCAATTCTGTGTTTTTATTAATGAAAACGTAACATTGAAAACAAATGCAACGCAAATGTACAAACTTTTAAGTGAATATTAATTCTAATACTTAAGAAAAAAGAGCAACAGATATGTAATGTTAAATAAGGCATTTGACATCTTATTTGGTCAGTTAATTTCAAAAGGGCATTAAATTATGTCGAGAAGGGATGTTACAATTCTGTTTAAGCAGTAATTAAATTAAAAATTTGTGAAATCTAGATGGAAGTAGAATTATTACTTTGTCAGCTGTTTGTTTTTGCTATTTTTGATTCCCATTATTCTAATTCACTGATGGATAAGTAAACAAACTTATTTTTCAATAATTAATGCGTGTAAGTAATGCATGTAATGTGTATAAATTTGTAAATATTTCAAGTAATTATTCTGAAATTGCTTTTTTTACTCAATTAATTTTGTTTTTAACTAAAATTAACGATTTACAGAGTCGTAACACATGCAAGGATTCAAATTAAAAGTCAAGCAAAGCCACGACGTATAGTAGTCCGACGTCGACGACTGACAGACAAACAGACAGACACGACTGATACAGCGTTTAACGTCTTGCCTGTAAATTCGTAGCGGAAGTACAGAGCTCTGCAAAAGTGAAAATATTATTTCCGTAATGGTATTTTTTTCGCGAAATTACATTTACAACTTTTTATTTTAAAGTATGTTGTTGTTTTGCTTTTAGTTAATAACCAGTTAGGTCCGACGCTTGTAAGGATATTGGAAGGACGCTTTAAGTACAAAAATTTGTTAAAAATGCTCTCTGCTTTAATGTTTTTTATTTCATTTAAAGTATATAAGAAGTGTATAAACTTGTAGTGTAAATAAAGCAAGATTTGTATGTTTTGTAATAAACGATTTGAAAATTGTTTTTGTTTCATTTATAAATATATTAGCTTTCGCTGGTGACTCGTGGAATTTAAAAGAAAAAGTGAGTAAACTATGTGTTCTTCCAGACTCCTATCCGTTCAGCCCTTTAGGCTACAAACTCTAACAAATATTCATCCATCTCAACTTTCGCATTTACAATATTAGTATGATTCAAAGTAAGTTATTTTACGCCAATGTCAGACTCTACTAAAATATTACCAGAAAACTATTTTTTAACAAGATGTTTATGATTAAAAAGAATATATATTTAAAAGAAGAAACTAATGTCACTTGTCATTTCTATTAAAAATGGTTGTCACGTATTAAATTTTATAATTCCTGGATTATTCGTCATTCTCATTTAAACACAAGATGACGTACATACTATGATTTAAAAATGCATTTTAGTTAAGCTTAATTTTAAGGAAATTTTAACTTTAAGCTTTTATTTTAAGTTTGAATATAGCTCGACCGAGGTTGAGTGTAAAAGTTGTGTAGTCGACTGTACTCGCCTGCATTGAACTCACATGTGTCTGTGTTGCGTGTGTGTAACATCATAAGGACGTGATCACAATGTACTTCTGTAAACTTTTTATATGTAAAAGTATATTTTTTTTTTGTAATCATTTTTGTACTTTGATAAAGTTTAACTTCATCATATATGTTACTCGTGTCTTAGAAGAAACGATATTTTCTTTCTACCTCTTTGTTACCTTGAGTGCTTTGCTTTTTATGACATCACTTTACAATGGTGTCCTAGAAATCAAATGATATATCTGTTAAGAAAATAACCGTATTATATGAAAACAAAATAAAGAAATACAAACTTTGAGGAGTTACCTTTATCCGCTTCGGGAGTAAATGCGGCGAAGGCGCCAGTTAGCGATTGACTCGGTGCGCCAGCGCACGTCACGCACAACTTTAAAAAAATAAAAAAAAGTTACAAAAGAGCGCGTGTTCCATTTATAAAACAGTATAGTTCGAAAGACAATTCAAATTTAAAAATTGTGAGTCTTTTATGTTGTTTTTTTAATTCTGTAGACTGCAGTAGATATTGTCGCGTTTGCTATTATGCCAGTTGCGTAATGAAATTTTCGTAAGTTTTGGTAACACTGCAGCGGTTAAACGGTTACTGTTGCTGTAACACATTGAATGCTATTGAATGCAATCATTGCATATCAATGCACACTTTTTTTTAAGCAGGTCGCAGTTTGAGGTAAGAGAATGTTTATTGGGTTCTTATTGGTTTATTTTGTTTGCGTAATTGTTAAGTACATTGGAAGATTTGTTCGTTGGTATACTGCTTACGACAAGTGTTTAATGAGCTTCGATAATACTTAAGTTAAAAACACAAATAGCTTATCTGTACTAGGTACATTGGCATAGTCAGTCATTAATCTAGGTAGGTCTAGAGGTAGGTAGTATAAATATGGTCCTAACATTTTGAGATCCCTTAGGGAATGGGACAACTGTCGCTACGGTGGCGACGCCAAAAGTAGGTATCTTGTTTATGGTTCTGTCTACTAATGTGCAATCCAATACTCAATAAGGTTACACTGATGTGGGTTTAAATTAGCTTCTTGTATCATCAGCGTGTTCTGAGAATTAGCAAAAAACAGTCAGAATGTTGTCGCCTTTCTCAATGTAAATGACGAGGTCGTTGTATTGCATCTGATGCAGAAATTCGTATACGACCTTCGCTTTAGCAAAGTGTCACTACAAGTTTATTAAAGTGCTTAATTTAATATATTTGTGTTCAATTTTTATACTCTGTTATTTCTAGTCTTATTTTGTAAGATGTTTTAATCGACTAAACAAAAGAAGGAGGTTATCAATTCGTCTGTATTTATTAGCTGTTGCTCGCGACTTCACATGTTACAAATTAAGATAATAGCTTATGTTACTGACAAATAAATTACCTTTCTAACGGTGAAAGAATTTTAAAATCGGCCTAGTAATTTTTGAGTTATTTCAAAACATACAAAATTACAAATCTTTCCTCTTTATAATATTACTATAGATGTGTGTGGTTTTAACGTCATTTTTAATAGATAATAACTAATACTTTTCTCAGATTGTTGTATCGATGATTCAATTAATATGCAGAGTTGTAAAATACGAAAATCTATTTGTTATTTATGTACTTAATAATAAATGAAGTTCTTATAAATGTTTTGATATTTAATAAGTTTGAATCACTAATAAACATCAATAAATTATTTTATTTTTCTTATGCTTTTTAGTATAAATAAATGTAAATATTACCGGTTAAAGGTAACACCATTGGATAAGATACGAAATGAGTATATTAGAGGAAGTTTGAGAGTAGCACCAGTGGTTGAGAAAATAAGGTGTAAAAGGTTAGAGTGGTATGGGCATGTTATGAGAAGGGATGAATCGCATGGAACAAGATGGACGTTAGTTATGAATGTGGAGGGGTACATCGGTAGAGGTGGACCAAGAAAGAGATGGATGAATTGTGTGAAAAGTGACATGATCAAGAAGGAAGTGATGACTGAGATGACGGATGATAGAGTGCTTTGGAGGACGAAAACCCGGTGCGCCGACCCTACGGGAGTAGGATAAGACAGGGGAGCTGATGATGATTACCGGTTGAAGGTCAACAAATATGTCAGCATTTCTTTAAGAACATTTCAAGGATTAGAGTTTCTTGTTTAACCTGTGATAAAAATAGTTGATACATTTAAGCAATGAAATTAGTAATAAAACTTGAATATGTAATTAGTAATTTGGGGTCAGTTGCAAGCAAAATTGCGAAGCGTTGCCGAATTATCGTAATAAATACCGACAATTGGCACAATACTGTATAACGACAATTGCTTACAGTGTCGGACACTTTTTATAAATGTACTTAACCTAGTTGATAACTTAAATGTAACTTAACTGTGTTGTGCGACAAAGACGGACTATAGTATTGAGTTTAACAACCGCAAATAAACAACTTGACCTTCAAAAAAGCCAGTTTTCAAATCCCCAAAAATACTTAATAACTGTGTGCATCTGCTGTGAAAACTTAAGTAAGTTAGATGAGTATTTGACTATGACCATACTTAATTCTTTACTAATTTTGACTCTACTTACCATAAGCCTCGTATCACTCGTTTTATTTAATAATGGACATCAGTTTAAACTTAACTGTTATATAAGGCATTTAAGTTACTTGTACCGTACTTGAGGTTGTCACAGTGTTCAAGTAATATGAAGTCTTTGTGTGGTTGTTGTCACGTATTTGCTCGGTCATTGGTCTCTGAAATGAGGTTTTAACGGTCCTCGGGCATTATTAAAATATTTAACTTGAAGGTACCTTTACGACATATATTAGGTTGAAGTTTGATGTGTATTTAGAGTTTAAAGCCTTAATTTTTGCATAGAACAAAGCAAGCTAATAATTTGTTAAAAATGTAAAGGTCTCCTGCGTAATATGAGTTATTAAAGCTAGTTTTTTGTATGATTTGTCATGTTACAATGATATCTATATAAGTATCAAAACAAGAGATAAGTTCATGTTATGTTTATTGCGTATCCATTCGCCGCTTACTTAGTATTGGTTCTGCAGTTAAAAAGACATCAACGCATACAAGTGATTGTGACTTCACTTCTCACAAACGCATGTACACGTCGCATAAAATAAATTCTAGCCTCCGTATAATCATTATGAAAAAACTTAAAGCTACCTTATTTATTAAGTTCATTCTCATCCATTACATTTGCAAGTGCAGTGATAAGTTTTCGCAAGTGACGTAATTCTTGCAATATCATATATTGATAAACATGTACGCAGCGACTGGGAGTACGCAGAGAAAGTAAATGTTCATGTGTGATCTATCATCCACTCTAAATTGATCTCTCATTCGTATTAGAACATTTTATTAATAGAGATCTGTTATATCTGGTATGTTTAACCATTTAAGCAAGACATTTATTTTCTTGAATGTTTCTAGTAAGTTAGTGTCATAGATAATTGGATATAATGACATACTGGTGTCATTGGAGTAAAAATTAATGTTATTCAATTGAAATCAGTTTTTCTGTTTCCCTTTCAATTATGCAATAAATGGTTTGCGAGTAAATGCTTAGGCTTTGTATTAAAGACAGGTAAATGTCACTCCAGAATTTATAAATATTGTTAACTTTTGTAAGGGATTTTTTATTTAATAATCCACTTTAAAGAAAATACTGTGTCATGTTTACTAAAATTACACAATGAGATTCGAACCCAGGACTTGCAGATCACAAATCAAATGCTTAACGACTGATTCAAGGGCGCTTCACTAAGATTTGTTTATGTTAATCTCTTAAACAGTATTTTAAAAATGACCTTATAAAAGTTCATATACGTATTTAGGAAAACTACAGAATTACGTGCGCTTTGTGACGAAGGTTATGTCGTGTGGAAACTTGTATTACTTACGTGTTAAAGCATGTCATCAAAGTGTGTGAAATGGAGGAGGGATGGATAACAGGACGAACTAGTGATTTGTATTTATAAAGTTTTCGAAGTGGTCCGCTAATACATTCTCAACTAACTTCATATTTTATATACACATAAAAATTAAAATACAATGTTTATTTTATTGTGGAAAAGTAAAGACAAAATCTTAATTTATTTTGCTTATGAAAAAGGTTGGAGGAGGCCTATACCCAGAATGGGGTTAAAAAGACAAAATCTAATTTATCACAAAACTAGCAACAATACTAGCATAGATGGTTTTGTGTCTCTGTGACGAGAGTATACAGTAACAGCAATTATAACCGTTATAACAGTAACTTTAGTTAAATAAGTTGTTATAGAAGTGAAGTAAAGCTGTTGTCGATGTGACAGCTGTCTTGCAGACCTTGAGGCGGGTAACAGCGGACACTGGGTTACTGGCTGTCGTTTCGCCACTCGTTGCACAAGCGGCTTGCGCAGTACCGCCTTACGTAACCCCGGTCGGGTAGGGTCGGGCATTGGTTATTTGTATCGATGAAGGGAATGTG